TTTTTTTGCTTTCCTGGGACACTAGGTTTGTCATTTTATTACTAAACACTTAATTGTTAGGGCTACAAGCAAATATTCATCATGTCTCTATTATTCGCTCTCGTAATAGAATGTCCGCTTTTTTCCATTACAATTGTACCATAGGTAGGACAGTCATTAGGATTATGCTCTCATTAAATCTAGTTTTGCACAGATATATATCTGAGTAATTGCAATAAAAACAGCAAGCGTGCAAATACTAAGCAGAATCCAAATTACCCTTTTTTTGTAAATCGAGTTTGAATTTAAGAAGGGAAATCCGAGTTCCCTCACGTTGACGACTTAAATAACTCGACTTTTCAGAAAAGATGCAGACATGTGCACATCTAACAAAGAAAACGACGAAAAAAATACATTGGAGCGTGAAGCGTAAATTATTAATTTCATGCTAGCTGATAATGACGTTTCATTTATAGCATTCACTTAAATGGAACTCTGCGAAATCTGAAGCCTGGATTTAGATTTTGCTAACATATGATAAGCTGACAATGTAGGAGACTCCCTTCTACACTGTAGTGGTAATGCTAAGAAATTTATACAGTAGATTCCAAGTTTTATTTAAAATTGGAATAAGTACTATATCTGTTTATGATGAATCCATTACCCCTTGGCCTCTTGAACGATGAAAGGATGAGCTAACTTAAAGTTTATAGAAAAGATGTGATCCAAAGAATATGTACCATATGGAAGCAGTACCACTTGCCACTACTGCAGCTCATCAAGTACAATACCGGTACAGCACAGTACAGTATGGTACAGAAAGAACTCAGCCAGTAAAATTCCATTAATCTATTTGAGGAAATGTGAAAACTTTTCGCTTACTTCGAAGCCTCATTAGAGAGTGGTTACCGTAGTTATATCAAGCACAACGAAAAGTGCTCCTACCTGCACAATGCCCTTCTGTTCAAAAAGTGCTCCCGAAAAGTTGTGCTAATTACCTACAAGTATCCCTTGGTTTCGCATACTTATATCGGTGTTACAGTAATCAGCCTACGTCAGTTAGGTGGTGGTCAGCTGCATTTCTTGAAATTCAATATTTAACGACAAAATAAAGAGGACTTGTGGCTAAAATATTTGGTCCTCAGACTCCTGGGAAAGACGCTGAGACACTCACTGCTGGCTCAATTTTGAATATTTCGGGTTCTCACTTTCTCATAGCTAATTATTCCCAGATACTCCTATAAAGATACTTGTTAAAATTGAAATTATCTACACTTTTTTGAGTTACTTGTTAATAAGCTTCAACCAGTGTACCTGGTATAATAGTGAATGTAGAGGTTTTCTCAAAGTTCTCACTCACGATGTGAACTGGCTTCAAATTACTGGNAAGGGTAAACCTATGATGTCATTACTAGTTACTGTAACAGCGCTGTTTACTCGAAGTTATCTCAAAGGCGCTCTGTTATGCTTATTTGGCTCCAAAACGAAATACAAGCAACCTTTTAGAAATTTCATTTTGTGAGGACCCTGCAGTGGTTCATAGGGTTTCATAGCCTACTAGTTTTTATGGGTATGGTAGAAAAAAAGAACTTTTGGAGGAATGCCAAAGGAATCATTCAGCAAAAGATTATATGTTTCTCTGTTATATAACAGTTTAAATGTAATTGCTTATTCGTTGCTGATACTTCTTTGCTTTCAAATAAAAACGTCAACAATTAAATGTTGTGAAATTTCGATGATACAAATGATTCGGATACTTACCAGCCCAATAGCACACATAACTTCACAAGCGCTACCGCAACAACCCAGAAATCCGAGGATCAGAAGCACGAGACCAAAGGCCATTGCAACGTACAATATCCAGTAAAACTAAAATAACTCCATTTATTCGGTTCACCAACGATCCATAGCAGTGTGACTCACACTTTCCAATGGCAAGTTGTTGGTGTCAATTTTAATTGTACTAACAGCTTTACTGAGAAACGACTTGTCAAATCGAAGCCATACTGAAAGACCAACGATAGCCGCTCCTAGAGCCTGAAATGTCCTGATTTGGTGAAACGAAATTATTCAGGTTATTGGACCCTTCCTTTTTTCCCTTGCTTTGTAGAGATAGTAGTAAGCTCTGAAGAAAGGGCTAAGAATTTTTCTACAGCGCAAACAAGCCGTATGGCGAGAATGGACTGTGACGGTGGGTTATGCTGGCCGTCAGTCACCATAAAGTGACCCTCGTAGAGCTAATAACAAAAAAGACTTACAAAAAACAGGAAATTAATCAACCATAGGATATATTTGATGCATTTGTTGCCACAACCGGCTACCATCCTAAAAATCGAGAAAGTAGTTGGTTCGAAATAGCAAAAGAAAGGAACGAAACGGACGAAATGTGCAGAATGAGACAAGAACATTGTCATATGATGTTGAGGAGGCGGCTTATCTAGTTTGATGTCATCCTTCAATTGTTGGTTTCAGGATGATTCACGCTAGAGGGCAATGTTTTGTACTCTGCCAGAATATGTATGTATAACGGCTAAGTGCAAAAACTCGTTTTGAACAGTCAAGAAAATAACTCGAATAGAGAGGATGTAATACGGAAGACCTTCGGACGATTGTAGGCGCACTACGAGGTTTTTGATGAAGCCTAGCAAAGGAAATGATGTGTACCGGTAACCTAGCAAACGGGTAAGTCACGTGGATCCCGAGCAATACCGTGTCTATGGGAACGCGGGTAGACACAACGATGCGTGCAACATTGAAGTGAAAGCAGCCGAAGCCTGCCTCGGGTGTCGTTTGATGTTGATTAACGTATTGCTATCACGAGCCAGTACCCCTGTATCAGGCAATTGGAATGGGACGGACGAGTGACGGGTGTAGAGCAAACTAATGAATAGGCCCGAGCCATGATGGCGTCATGAACTAGTCATAGTGCGGGGTTCTGATTAAATCTGAGCAGGTCCTACAACGCCGCTTGATTACGTCGTTATCGTACCGAGCAATAGTAGGTAATGATTAATTCCCGCTCAGATTCAACAGGATTTTTCCTTTTTTTCTGCGGAGTCAATATTCTGTTGGTACGTGATAACCAACTTCAGAACTTTGAATTGAAGGGCCTAAAAATTTCTTTACCAGGGTTAATAGATATTCACATCGTATGATTCCCTGGACGTTATGCTTTGCATTGCTATGAGAGGAGTGGCTTCTATCAAACTTTCCGCACTGTTTACTGTACTATCAGTGTCAACGGCGTCCAAACTCATGACCAGCTGGCTGCCCGCCGGAAGTGAACTTGAGTGACAGGTCAGGGGATGAAAAACCAAGAACAAAACGATATCATATTTCAGAAAAAATTCCGCCGTCGAGCAATGGCCAACAAGTTATGCCAGAATATGTTCGAATGAAAAAGGTAGCTGAAAATGGTGGGGGAACTATGGCGGAGGATCCGAACTCACGACATAGATCTTGTCAACCCGCCTCACGAGCCTTGGGGATTCCCATCACGTTATTCTTTTCGATAACTGGGCACAGTTCCACTGATTTCGTGGAAGTGGGTCGAGAAAACGCAAAAAAATCACCACTTCTCTTTCAAGGAAATCGGTCCCTTTTATTTGGAAACCAAAACGTCACCAGTCCGGGAATACGTCCGTGCTATATGCCCACCAAAGCACTGCCTCATTTTAGAATCCCTCTTCAGAAAGAAAAAAAGAGTTTTGAAAAAATGTGCACAACTACTTATGGAGCAATAGTTTAATCAGGCTAAGAGTAACCGTAGAAGGTTTTTACAAGTTAATGGAATACGATCGACTGGTCTATTCCCACACAATATCTTATTGATTATAACAAAATGGTTTTATTGGGGTTGGACCGCCTTGAAGTGTCATGGGAATTTCATGAACGACAGTTGTAGGAGTAATGAAAAGGATTCCAGGAGTACTAAGCAGCTGTTGTATATCAGAGTGTGTGGCCATATCAACTCGTTGACAACGTAG